ACACGCCTTGCGCACCCGCACCGGGCCATCAGCACAGCGCAGGCAGCCACAGCGCCGAGAGCAGGAGTGGGGTCTGACGGAGGTTGGGCGCCCTGAGGTTGCGACTGGGGCTCAGAGCGCGTGGCCCGCCGTCCTCACAGTCCTGCTGTGACCTGACTTCAAATTCGTCCTCAAGCTGTGTACGCAGCACGTGCAAATCCCAGCTGCACCAAAGGGAAGCCGTCTAACATTCGTGTCTCCACGCAGCTTTTGGTCACTGCATCTAAATGCGGGAGAGAAGCCTGGTGGGAGGGGGCGGCCCCTTTCAGCTCAGCGTTCGCAGGTTCCCGGCTCAGGAGCAGGCGGCCTCCCGGTCTGCGTGTGACGGAAGCAGGCATGGCACAGCGGTGCTGAACGCTCCCGGGTGAGCCAGCAGGCAGAGGGCCACCGGGACCACGCTGGGCTGCCGTCACCAACACTCTCAGGACAAGCCCCTGGGCCAGAGACCTCCCACGAGGTTCCTGCCCAACCCACCAGCAGCTCACAGAAGGCTTCAGGGTTCAGCAGGCACTGAGGCCAAGCCTTGAATCCGATACAATGTGGCACAGACAGGAGCCCGGCTGGCCGGCGAGTTGGGTGGGGGAGTCCCTTTCTGCTTCCTGTTTGTAACCTTCCCGGCTCCTGCATCTGGAGAAACAGTTGCAGAAACAGCCAGCAGCCTTGGGTGCCCAGGCCCTAGGAAACCCCACAGGTGCAGCAAAGGCGGCCGCCCAGCCAGGCCTGCAGGCTCCTGCTCCCAGTGGGACGAGAAGATCCGAGCGCTCCCGTGGAGGGTGAGCCACAGGAAGGGGCAGAGGCCCTCCCTCAACCTCTGCTGGTTCCTGGGGGAGGGATGTGAGCGGTGCCCCTCAGGAGCCCAGTGCCCAGCTTTAGGAGCCCTGGGCGGGGGGGCTCTGCCCTTGCAGCTGTTTCCCGAGTCTGGCATCACCGGAGACATGGCCCAGAGTGCTTTTCCACTTCCTGACTTTACTGAAGAGGGGGAGGAACAGAGATGTTCCAACTGCTGGTTCACTCCCCCAGATTCCTCCAATGGCTGAAGCCGGGCGCCAGGAACCCACTCCTGGTGTCCCCCGTGAGTGGCAGGAGCCCAACTACCTGATCCCTCACCGCTGCCTCCCAGGGTGTGCCGGGCTGGGCACGGCAGCCGGGGACGTGGCGTCTTAGCATCTTCGCTGCTGGGACAGACACTCAGCCCACTCTGTGCTTTAAGCCTTCAGAAAAGCAGGAACAAAGCCAAGGGGACAACTGTGCCGTGACATAAAACTACAGCCCAGGCCTCAGTCTAGCTCGTGTTCTTGTTCTTTTTTTTTTTTTTTTTTTGAGATTTATTTATTTGAAAGTCAGAGATACAGAGATCTTCCATCTGTTGGTTCACTCCCCAAATGGCTGCAGGAGCCAGGAGATTCTGGGTCTCCCACGTGAGTGGCAAGGGCTCAAGCACCTGGGCCATCTTCCGCTGTTTCCCAGGCCGTTAGCAGGGGCTGGAAACGGAGCAGCCGGGACAGGAACCGAGATGCCGGCATTGCGGGCGGCGGCTTTACCACCCACTGTGCCACAGCGACTCGCTGATGTTCTGCAGAGAGATAGGCTAGGAGTGCGTCCTGAGCGATGGAGACACCTGTTACAGTGAGGGGCTTCAGACTCCACTGCTCATCCCACAGGAAGGGCAGCTCAGAGCCCCTCAGTCCCGAGAGATCGTGGAACCGCCACGCCAGCTCCTGCCACACCAGGACGGGCTGGGCCCTGGGTTGGGGATGCAGGAGGCGGGCGCCGAGCACACACCGGCGCCTGGCTCTGTCCTTGGGCTCCGCCGGGGTCGCGCTCAGGCCCCTCACCGTTCTGAGGCAGATGCTGAGCTCAGGAGCTGGAATCGAACCTGGGCTGTGTGTTCTGAAGCACGAGGTGCGTGACCTGTGCAGGCTGTGTGCCTGGTGCCTGACAGCGGGGCCTCACTGGCTGGGGAGAGCACCCAGCCCCCCCCCCCCAGGCTGGCCAGTCCTTACAGTCAGCCAAGGAGCGGCCCAGGGCACTTATCCCAGGCAGCTAGCCAGTCTGGAGCCCACGCCCACAGCCCTTGCCCTCTGGCTCTCGCATTCCAGGGCCACACTGCCCTGACTGGTCATTCCAGGGCCCAGTGCCAGGCACCCAGAGCCCCTGAAGTTCTCCCAAGCCTGCTGGCCCTCCTCCGCCTGCATCCCCTGTGGAAGGCTCTGGAAGGCCCCCTGCCCCTTCCCCTGTTCCTTCCACATCAGAGTGCCTGGGTTCTGAGCCCCGGCTCTGCTCTGGCGTCCAGCGCTGGCCCCAGGCGCTGAGGGTGTTCCGCTGCTGGCTCACCACGCTGCCAGGCGGAGGTGCCCGCCTGATAGACACCGAACGACTGTGCCCCTCCCCCTCGGTGCTGGCATCGGCAGGCGGGGCCTTTGGCATTTAGAAGAGGTGGTGAGAGCAGGATTAGTGTCTTCGCAGAAGAGGAACAGAGACCAGAGCTCTCTCGCCCTCTGCCCCCACACAGAAGCCGTCACGTGAGGACGAAGCCAGAGGTGGCGTCTGTGCGCCAGGGAGAGGACGTGGGGGCTCCTGAACAGGAAGGAGGACTTTCAGGGCTTAAGCGCCAGCCTTACAGGATTTGTCAAAACCACCCCGAGGTCACGTGTGTCCGCACAGAAAAGGGGCTTCCAGCACCCCGAGTGCGCGTTAGGGACTCTGGGGACTGGGACGGCGTCGCCCCAGCTGCCCCGGGTGCGGCGTCCTGATCCGGCACTTCACAGGCCGCCAGCTGTAGATGGTCGTCTGCACCAGTGTCCAAAACACGTCCCCCCAAACAGAAAGCAGCAGCAGAAACACAGGTCACGCGACACGGCTGCCTGGTCATCTCTCAGGGTTCTGCTTCCAACGAGGACGCACTGTATCGCGGCCACGCAAACGCTCCGGGGAGACTAGCTCAGACCCCCCCTTCTGTCTCCCTGAATGACTTCCTGGGAAGCGACTCCGGCCCCCACCTGCTGCCTCGCTCGGCCTGGGTCTCTCAGGCCACCCAGTCCCTAGGCGCCCCTCCCTGTGCCGGTGCTGCGGTACAGCCACACCGAGAGCCCTGGCAGGACAGGCCGGCTGTGGCTGGGAGTGTTGTTGTTGTTGTTGTTGTGTTTTTTTTTTTTTTTTAAGATAGTGAGAGAGAAAGAGAGAAAGGTCTTCCTTCCGTTGGTTCACCCCTCCAAATGGCCACTATGGCCAGAACTATGCCGATCCGAAGCCAGGAACCAGTTGCTTCCTCCTGGTCTCCCATGCGGGTGCAGGGCCCAAGCACTCGGGCCATCCTCCACTGCCTTCCCGGGCCACAGCAGAGAGCTGGACTGGAAGAGGGGCAACCGAGACAGAATCTGGCTCCCCGACCGGGACTAGAACCTGGGGTGCCGGCGCCGCAGGCAGAGGATTAGCGTATTGAGCCATGGCACTGGCCCCTGAGAGTGTTAATAGATGGGTCCTTTCTGGACCGTCCCTACACTCCGAATCCCAGAGGAAATGGTTTGTTCCTGATTGAAGACAAGAGGAACTGGCAAGTGCTCATTGAAACCCCTGTGGGTGGGCCGGCACCGTGGCATAGTGGGCTAGGCCTCCGCCTGGGGTGCCGGCATCCCATATGGGTGTTGGTTCTAGTCCTAGCAGCTCCACTTCCGATCCAGCTCTGCCATGGCCTGGGGAAGCAGTAGAAGATGGCCCAAGTCCTTGGGCCCCTGCACCCATGTGGGAGCTGGAAGAAGCTCCTGGCTCCTGGCTTCGGATTGGCTCAGCTCCGGCTGTTGAGGCCATCTGAGGAGTGAAGACCTCTCTCTCTGTCTCTGCCTCTCAGATAAACAAATAAAATATTTAAACAGACACCTGTGGGACAGTAGGTTCCCACACTCCGGCAGCCTTGGAAAGGGGCACTGAAAGCCGGCAGAGCAGGCGGGGGCCGGGCCGGTGAGCAGGGCCAGGGCGATTCTTCCGTGACCAGGCCGATGGCCATGGGCTCTGGGCCGCTGCCCACCAGCTGGGAACTCTAACCTGGATCTCTCCAAAGCCCAAGAAATGAGAGCCAAAGGCGAGTCAGGAAGGGGCCGAGCATGGGGTCTGCCGGGGAGGAGGGGCAGGAGCCACGGGGGACTGGTCAGCAGGGGGACCGCTGCAGTCAGCTGCCGGGGGAGCTCTCAGAAGCTGGGAAGGGCAGAGGACGGCGCCCCTGCAGCAGGGTTCCTGGGCTCTTACCCAGCAAAGAGGGTCACCCCTCTGTCCCCCCAGCTTCTCCCCCTCAATGTCCCCAAATGTTAGGTGTGCAAAGTGCCGGCACATGGCTCAGTAGGGCGGGTTACTGTCCATCAAGGATTAACTGTCGCTAATTACAAGGTGCTTCCTCTTGGAATTCTGGACCCCAGGCTATGCCGGCCTCTGTCTCCCAGGAGCAGGAATGCCGCTGCCTCAGGCCACCGACCCCAGAAGCCATCCCCCACCTCCAGGTGGCCGCTCTGGGGTTGGGGCCCAGTCCGTCAGGGCAGGGCTCCTGAGTGGGGGAATGGGCCCCACCAGGCCAGGTTTTGAGCACGGAGACCCGGCAGAGGTGGCAGAGCACGTGGTCCAGCCCTGGACACCGATGGCCTCCTCAGGTCCTCGAGTCTGAAGGCGCCTGTGCGGAGGGCAGGTCGGCGCGCAGTGCTCTGCCCGCACCGGGCACTGCAGGTGCAGCAGGACCGGGGAGGGCGGACCTGGGGCCACGAGCCCTTCGCGCGGCCCGAGGCTGGGTGGCCGGGTGGGCGGACGGCCAGCTCAGCGACTGCACGGGCGCAGGTGCAATCCAGGCGGCCGCCCCGCGCCAGGGCCGCCCACGCCGCACCGGCTCCGCCTTCGTCGCCCGACCCCCGGCAGGGCGGGGCTTGCGCGGAGCCCCCGCCCCCGGCCCGCCCTCCGCGCCGCGCGGGACTCGCGGGCTCCGAGCCGCTCGCGAGGTCAGAGGGAGGCGGCGGCGCGTCCGGGCTAGCGCCTGCGCCGAGTGGGCCGCGCGCCGGAGCGGGGAGCCGGGAGCGGGGAGCCGGGGGCCGGGCCGCCCGCCTCGGCCCCGCCGGCATGGAGGCGGAGTGCCGGGTGCTCTCCATCCAGAGCCACGTCGTCCGCGGCTACGTGGGTAACCGGGCGGCCACGTTCCCGCTGCAGGTACGCGCTCGCCCCGCCGCCGGGCTTACGTAACCGGCGCGGCCCCAGACCCGAATTCGGCGGTGCGGAGCTGGCCGGCCGGCGGTCTGCGAGCCCAGTGACCTTGGCCGTGCCGCAGCGAGTCCGGAGCCCGGGGCGGGGGTGCGCCTCCCTCTCGGGGGAGGGGGTGTCTGCAGGGTGCGGGCGGTGCGCCCTGAGGCTGGGCCCGTCCCGGGGCCGGGGTGGGGTGCGCAGGTGCGGGGAGTCCCGGTGCACGCGCTGTGGCGCACTCGGCGGAAGGCGAGAAGATACCGCGCGACCCCGGGGCCCGGCCAGCCGAGCTGGCGGCGGGAGGCGGGTGTTTGCGTGCTCACCTGCGGGGTCTGCGGGGAGGAAGGTCAGGGACAGCGCGGCCGCGGTGCCCACACAGGTCAGAGGAGGGCCACGCGGGCAGAAGCCCACTGCCGGCGCTGGCTCTGAGGAGGAGCCCAAGACTGTGCCCCTCGGCTCTGGAATGCCTCAGCCGGGCCTCCAGGGCTGCCTCCCGTGTCCCTGCTGCTGTCTGTGTGGCCCAGCCGGATGGCTCGCCCAGCTCACCCCACTGTCGCCTGCCGGCAGGGGCACCCACTGCTTCCTGGTTGGAGTGGAGTGGGCCCTTGGGGAGATGGAGAGGGCCTGGGTGCCGTGGGTGTCGCGCTGGGCGACAGGCAGAACCAGGGTGGATGGAGGGTGGCTGGGAGGGCCCGGTCTGAGCAGGGGGAGGTATGGTGAGTCCCAGGGCCCTGCCGTGCCCTCCAATCCCTGTGCTGTGTCCTACAGGACACTGAAGGCTCTCTCTCGGGCAAACACCGGCCTCAGTGTGTGGGCTGGTGTGGGAGGAAGGGGGGGGCGGATGTCAGAGCGCTGTGTCCCAGTGGGACCCTGAGGGCTGGCCCCGGGTGGAAAGGTGTGAGGGTTTAAGTCCAGAGAGGAGGCAGTGGCTGAACCCTGGCCCCCTGGGAGGCCAGCAATGCCTCATCTGGTCTCATGCGGCTAGCAGGGGGCAGACCATGCCTGGGGCTGTCCAGGTGCACCCAGCACACAGCCAGGCCCTCCCCTCACCATGGCTGCCCCAGACCCTTAGCTTGTGGGAGAGGGGAGGTGCCTGGGTAGCTGGGTTTCGTGGTCCTAGAAGGGGGACCCCAGTTGGGAACACAGGTGCAGTCCCTAAGCAGAGGCAGCTGGGGACGGTGGGCCAGCTGCTGGGGTGGCAGGGACAGCCCCAGCGTGCAGGGCCTGCAGGATGCCCTCCGTGCTGGCCGTCCTCCCCGCACCTGCTGCTCGCTCTCTTCCCTGGGTTCGCCCCGGGCCCACCACCCACGTCCGTGTTCCTGAACTCCCACAGGGAGGACCTGTCTGGTCTTCTGGTTTCTCCAGGGAGGGGCTCCTCCCAGGGGCCCCCTGGGGAGGTGCCTCTCGGGGATGCCACTGCTGTTCTTGCCTGCAGTCTCACCTGTGGGCTCCATGGGGTCCCGGGTGGCTCCTGGCTCCCAGGCTTGCACAGCGTTGGTGAGCACTGGGTGGTCCAGGGGTAGGCAGAGCCTGGGGAGGGGCTTCGGCAGCATGCCAGGGCGGGGGAGCATCCCCTGGGGTCCAGAGCTGCGCTCGGGGGCACAAGGGGTGCACATTCTTCACTATAATCAACAGCCTACGGCTCGGGACACCACAGCCTCACCCGTGGCCGAGCATGAAGGAAGGAGACGTAGAATCGGGGAAACGTGGGCCGTGGCCGGGCCGCTCTGGGAGGTGCTGCAGAACACTTGGGGTGCGGCACCCAGCCGGGAGCTGGAGAGGCTGCCCTGGGCACGCGGCTGGCTGACGCCCCTGTCCTGCAGCTCTGGCTGAGGTTTCCAAGTCCTCCCAAGCCAGGCGCCGTCCCTGTTTGCGGGCAGGTGCCGCGCGGCCAGGCTGCAAGCGTGGTGCAGGTTGTGCCGCCGTGCGACTGGGTGCAACACTGTAGGAGAGAGAGCAGGACCTTGCCCCTGCTTTGCGACTTTGCTTCTGGGCCCGGGGCCAAGGTACATTAAAGCGGCCGAGAGGAACGCGCTCATGTGGTCAGTGCCGGCAGGGGATGGAGTATCCGGGCTGGCGGAGCACAGAGCAGGCTCCGCCTGCCCCGTCCCCGCCTCACGTCCCCGCCTCACCTGGGATAACCGGGATAAGCGGGCTGGGGGATGTCTCCTGCTGCGCTGGCCTTGGATTGTGGGCGGGGAGGAAGTGGAAGGGCTGAAGTCCAGGGCGGCTGTTGCCTGCTGCTGCCTCAAGTCAGGCCGCGCTGGGTCGGGCCAGGTTGGGGGGGAGACTGGGTCGGGTCGGGCCAGGTTGGGAGGGAGGTTTGTTGGTTCCGATGCTGGGTTGGCTGCTCCTGCCCATGGCTCCCTGAGTCGGCCGAGGCTGCCATGCCAGGCGGCTTGAAGGGGCAGAGTGGATGCTCTGCTGCTCTGGGGGCTGGACGTGAGGACATCAGGCGTGAGCAGGGCCCTGTCCCCTCCCAGACAGCCCCAGGCCTGCCGTGGTGGTGGCTGCATCCGCGTGGTCTTCTCCCCCGTCCCCCTGCTCCTTAGAACGACACTCGTCGTGGGTCTCAGGCCAAGGTGGGCTTAACTTGCTCTCATCTGCAAAGACCCCTGCTTTGTGCACAGCCCTGTCCCCAGGCCTCGACAGATGACCAGAGGGCGGGGGCGGGTGTCCACCGGAGCAGGAGCCTGCTGCCCAGCATGGGTTCAGGATTTAATTAAAGGCCCGGCTGGTGACCTCGGGCCGTCCTTGGAGGGGGCAGGTAGCACAGGCTGGGCCGGGGCCGGGTCTGTGCCTCCCTCCGTGCTGCGCCTGCGAGGCCGGCGGCCGCCCTGCCGGGACCTTCAGGGGGTGCAAACAGTGGGCTCTGTGCTCGCCGCGGTGACATCCACGTCCTTTACGTGCCGGTGCCTGGGGCAGCTGCCATCGCCGGGCACTGCCACCTGGACACGTGGCGTCCGTGCCGGGTGTGTCCCCACAGCTCTGGTGTGGTGAGAAGGGTGTCGGACATGAAACTGTCTGACTGGGGGCTTCAGCCCACCCCAGCAGCCCCTGCTGGCACCCCCCCCACCACAGGGGGGCCACTGTGCCCACCCCAGCAGCCCCTGCTGGCACCCCCCCACACCACAGGGGGGCCGCTGTGCCCACCCCAGCAGCCCCTGCTGGCACCCCCCACCGCAGGGGGGCCGCTGTGCCCACCCCAGCAGCCCCTGCTGGCGCCCCCCGACACCGCCTGTGACTCTGCAGGCACCTGGAGGTACAGTCCCCTCAGGTCATTAAGCTCGGGATTGTGGCGGTCAGTGTGGACGTTCAGCCCCACCCCAAAGACCGCCTACTGTGCAAGAAAACAGAGTCCCAGGGCCAGCGCTTGGTGGGAAGGCCCTGCAGACCTCGCAGGAGGGGGCTCCGTGCCGGGGCCGTGGGAGCCCTGCTGGGGCGGGAAGGCCCCCTCGGCAGCGCCCACGCCTGACGTGAGCGCTGGGCTGGTGCGTGGCAGGTGAGGGGGAGGCGTCTCCCAGCAGCTCCCTTGCTTGTGCCTCTCCGTGTTCCACGTGAAGCGGGTCTGGGTCACCAAGCCTCCGAGGCCCGGCACCGAGGCCAGCTGACCACGGCCAGCCCCTGAGAGCTGCTGGAGGTCGGGCTGAGACCCCTCCCCTAGGGCGGCGCTGCCCGGCGTCCACGGCTGCTGTGCACGGCCCCTGAGCAAGGCTGGGGTGGAGGAGCTGCACGGGGAAGTCCCGGAGCTTTCCCACGCCTGCTGCTCCTGGAGGAGGGAGGGGAGGAGTCACCGTGACACGCGTGGGCTGGCGATGCAGCCACGAAGCTGAGTGTGGCACTCGGCACTGCCCTGTGCATGGCCTTGGCACGCGTGGGGCCGCGGGATGCAGAGCCCTCCCTGGTGCACAGCTGCGCTAAGCGGGGCGGTCGCCAGCTGTCCCTCCTGGGGTGCAGCCATGTGTCCGCTCCTAGGCAGGGTGCAGCTGCCGGCTGTAGCCCTCCAGGGCGCAGTAGCTCGAGGGAGCCCCCTGCTTTGGGCAGGCCGTGAACCTGCACGGTCATGGGGCTGTGCTGGTAACTCAGTCGCCGGGTCTGCCGCAGCAGCCACAGGGAGCCGTGACCGTCTGTCCGTCAAGCTCGTGGGCAGCGCCAGCTAGTAGGAGTGGCTTTGCCAGCGGCTTTGACTAGAGCTGGCACTCACTCGAGACTCAAAGGCACGGGCCCCAGACCCCAAAGGGTGCTGTGTGGAGGCCGAGAAGTCGGGGTTTCGGCAGATCGCGGTCACCGTTATTCCCAGGGGTGCGTGCCAAGACCCCCCCCCGGACGTCTGAAACCGTGCGTGGAACCAGGGCCCTGTGGTGTGCACCTGCCGCCAAGCTTGGCGTGTGAGTGCGGCACGCAGACCGCGCAGCACCGGGTGTGTTCCAGGACGGCGCTTGCTGTCCTGAACCAGTGCAGGCAAACCTCAGTGCCTTTGGAACATGTGGGCGGCACACTGGATGGCGGCTGCTGCCCTCTAGGTGGGGTAGGGGTGGAGCTGAGGGGGCTGAGAGGCGTCAGCAGCGGCCGCCGTTGTGCAGCTGGTTAAGCCGCCACCTGCAGTGCCGGCATCCCATGGTGAGTGCCGGTACGAGTACTGCTGACCCAGCTCCTGCTGTGGCCTGGGAAAGCAGTGGAAGATGGCCCAGTCCTGGGGGCCCTGCACCCACGTGGGAGACCCAGGTGGAGCTCCTGGCATCCACCTGGCCCAGCCCTGGCTCTTTCGGCCATTTGGGGAGTGAACTACCAGGTAGAGGGTCTCCCTCTGTACTCTGCCTTTGGAATCAGTCAATCAAGCAAAGAAGGAGGGAGCTGTGGCCCAGCGTGGAGTTCCCGGAGTGGCAGGAATAAGGCTGTGGGGGCGGGGGTGGGGGTGTTGGGCCATGGCAGAGGACAGGGCTTGAGGCCTGGGCTTTATCTGTGGGCAGTGGCGAAGCCTTGAGGGCTACGGTTGGGGGTAGGGAGTGTGTTGGGGCAGCTGAGGGAGGATGGTGGCACAGGTCTCTTGGGACAGTTGTGGGAGTCGGGCCACCGTGGCCGTTACCGGGGATGGAACCCTGGAGGGAATTCAGGACCAGCCCTTGGCTGTGTGTGGGGTGGGCCAGGGGCCAGGCTGTCGGCCACAAGGGCAGAGCAGGCAGGGCCAGCCAACCCGGTGACCTGTCCCCTCGCTTGTCTCTGGCCACGCTGGTCACTGCTCTTTCACGATAAGTCCTGCTTACCCTTCCCCCGTGGACTGTCCTCGGAGTGACGGGAGGCAGCTCCGCTGTGTCGCCTGCCGCTGGTGCACGGAGCGGGCGGAGAGGCTCACGCGTGTGGGTGGCAGCCGTGCGCAGGAGGCCGGCGAGGAGCTGGGTTGGGACGTTTGCGTTCGCTGTGCTGTGACCCGCAGGACTCGGTGTTTCATGGTGGCCGTACGGCAGCACAGCTGCATACCTTGTCATGGCCCCTCGCCCCTCGTTTGTCTCAGGCTCACTGGGACCCCAGGCACAGCTGCAGGTGGTCATCACCTGGACCCTGGCACAGCCGCAGGGGGGTGTCACCTGGACATGGGCACAGCCACAGGGGGGTGTCACCAGAACCCTGGCACAGCCACAGGGGGGTGTCACCTGGACATGGGCACAGCTGCAGGGGGGTGTCAGCAGGACACGGGCACAGCTGCGGGGGGGTTGTCACCAGGACACTGGCACAGCTGCGGGGGGGGGTCACCAGGACACCGGCACAGCTGTGGGGGGGGGTCACCAGGACACCGGCACAGCTGCGGGGGGGGTGTCAGCAGGACACGGGCACAGCTGCGGGGGGGGGTCACCAGGGTACAGGCACAGCTGCGGGGGGGGGTGTCACCAGGACACGGGCACAGCTGCAGGGGGGGTGTCACCAGGACACTGGCACAGCTGCGGGGGGGTGTCACCAGGACACTGGCACAGCTGCGGGGGGGTGTCACCAGGACACCGGCACAGCTGTGGGGGGGTGTCACCAGGACACGGGCACAGCTGCAGGGGGTTGTCAGCAGGACACGGGCACAGCTGCAGGGGGGTGTCAGCAGGACACGGGCACAGCTGTGGGGGGGGTGTCACCAGGACACTGGCACAGCTGTGGGGGGGGGTCACCAGGGTACAGGCACAGCCCTTGTGTCTCCTGGAAGTCCAGTTTCACCCACACCTAGAGGGGGCCGGGCGGGGAGGGAACCCCTGGGAGTCCTGGGAAGTGTGCTCCCCACCAGGGCCCGTGGGCTGTTACAGGTGCAGGGCCGACCGGCGCCCTCCCCAGGTGGCCCAGGGTGGGGCTCACGGGCGCCTGCTCTGTTCCCCTTGGCCTGGAAGGTGGAGGCCTGGGGGCCAGGACGCAGCTCTGCCCGGCTGTTCCCCGCAGTGGTCTGTGCTCAGGATGAGAACCCGGCTCTTTCTGACGTGTCTGGCGGGGGTGGGGGGACCTGTTCTTGTCATGCATTTACTCATCTGGGGGGGCAGAGGGAGATGGGTGAGCACACGCCTCTCTGCTGGCTCACCCCCCAGTGCCCGGCTCGGGACGTGGCGGGGAGTCTGGGTGGCAGGGACCCAAGCACCTGAGCCGTCCCCGCTGCCTCCCGGCTGTGCATCAGCCGGAAGCTGCTCCGACTGGGGCGCCCATGGGTGTCTTGTCCGCAGCCTAGCCTCTGCCGGGGTGAAGCCGAGTGCAGGGAGCCCGGCCCTTCCTCCCCTGTCCTCCCTGCCTCTCCCTGGCGGGGAGCCACAGCCCTGCAGGAAAGCGGTTTCCAGGGCCACAGCCCCAGCACCCGGAGGGCGGCACCGGGCCCCGTCTCGGAGCCCCCAGTGTTGGCTTCTCTCGGGCCCGGCTGAGGTTTGATGGGAAACGTCCCGGGTGGCACGGATGCCGACTGACGAGCCGGAGGTGCCGGCCCAGGGCCCGGCTGCTCACGTGCGCGTGCCGGCTCCGGGGGTTAATTATCCGCACGTGCGGGTGGGGGCGCCGCGGGCCCTGGCGGGATTCTCGGGATTCGCGCGTCAATGGCTCAGATCTGCTGCCTCGGGTGATTAGAATTTTGCGGGATTTGCAATCGGTCCTGCGAGCTCTGAGCTCTGTCTCGGGAGGCGGCGTGGGGCAGGCCCGCGCGTGTGCCCGGGCTGGGTTCAGCTTTGTTCCTAAGACTGCTCCTTCCTGTCTCACCGCTTCCGCAGTCACGCTGGCATGGAAATGCCGGAAAGATCTGGCAAACACGGGCCCTAAACGCACAGCTCGCTGAGCCCACAAAGCCCACGCTGCCCTACAGGAACAGAAAGTGACCGCCCCGGGTGGGGGTGGGGCGGTGGCGGGTGGTGGTTGCGCCAGGGCAGAGGGAAAGGGGCCTTGGGGAGTTGGTGCTGAGGGGAGGTGAGGACGAGGGGAGGTGAGGACGGAGCAGGGTAGCCGCAGGCGCTCTGGCTTTCTGGGCTCTGTGTCTGTCCCTGCCCTTCCCCCCTGTGTCTGTGTCTGCCCCCCACCTGCTCCGGGAGGGTCTGCAGGCGGGCACCTACTTCCAACCTGTGTTCCCTCTGAAGGTGCTGGGTGTCAGCCGGGGCTCCCGGCCTCCGTCCCCTCCTGTGGCCTCTCCCTGTCGGTCCTGTGTCGTGGGGTTTGGTGGAGGATGCCACACCTGCCTGCAGCTCCAGGCAGCTGACCCGGGGCGCTGGTGCCCGTGTCTCTGGCTGCTTGGGGCCCGTTGGTGACAGTCTCTAGATCAGCAGGGACGCGCCAGTCACGCGGGGCCGCAGCCCCAGCCTTCTGACGGTGGCGTCCGGCCTCACTGCTGGCTGTGCCGCCTTTGCTCAGGGCCACAGCCGTGGACGTGAACTTGAGGCCATGCATCTGCGGCCTGGCCGGCCATGGGGAGGTGATGGGGAGACTCGGGGACAGTGGGGAGAAGCACAGGGGCCACCTCGTGGAATGGAGAGTGGGAGAACGAGGGGAGCCCTCCTGGCTGTCACGCTGGCCCTGGGTACCGGGCAGAGGTGGCCATCAGGGCCAGGCTGCTTCAGGAAGGGTGGCGGGAGGCCGGGGGACTGCACCTGACGGACGGCACAGCAGGCCGGAGACGGCTCGGTCAGCGGGGACCTTGGCTGTGCAGATGTGGCCGGTTCAAGCCCTCCAGAGGGGCGTGGCTTCCCAGCCCACTGGAGCCAGAACCCCTGCACAGAACAACCCCCCCCCACACACACACACCGCCAAGAGGTGGGGCCAAGGTCACCTCAGCCCCCAGCATGCGTCAGCGCCAACTACAGCACAGCTCCATGTGCCTCCAGAGTCAGGACCAAGTGCACGTCCAGACGGTTTGTGGTTGGTGGTTGGGCTCCGTGAATAGGGTCCCACCCCCGACCATGCTGTGTTCATGTGGGGTGGGGTCTGCCAGCAGGTGCCGGGGCCATTTTACGTGGCAGAACCCTGGTAATCCCCTCCCCCTGCTTTGCTTCCTGTGCCCCTGCTGGGCATGGGCCTGGACCAGCGGCCTCTGCCCCATGCTGGGCGATTCCTCGTGCGGCTGGAATGTGGTTACCGACACACAGAGGGAGAGACAGAGGGAGCTCTTCCATCCGTTGGGTCACTCCCCAGATGGCCACAACAGTCAGAGCTGCGCTGATCCGAAGCCAGGAGCCAGGAGCTTCCTCCAGGTCTCCCACGTGGGTGCAGGGCCCAAGGCCTTGGCCATCTTCCACTGCTTCCCTAGGCCACAGCAGGGACCTGGATCTGGGACACAAACCAGCGCCCGTATGGGATGCTGGCGCTGCAGGTGGAGGCGTGGCCCACTATGCCACAGCGCCGGCCCCAGGAAGGAGCTCCGGAGTGGACGTGCAGCCTAGCAGCCACGCCGCCCACATCCCAGCGGAATGCCCGGGCTCCAGCCCCCAAATTTGGCTTCTTGCCGACGCACACCCTGGGAGGCAGTGGTGACGACGCTCAAGTCCTTGGGTTCCTGCCCCAACGTGGGAGCCCTGGGTTAAGTGCCTGGGGGGTCATTCTGTGTCTCCATCTCTCTACCTCACAAATAAAAATGCGTGAATAAATAAAGCTTTCAGCGTGGTGGTGACTAAGTTGGTGGTGGATGGCTTCACATTTCTTCAATGGACAGCCTTAGTCCTTACTCGCTGTGAATGAGTGGCTGAATTCTGCAGCTCCTGCTGGCTGGGGAGCCCTGCCCCAGCCTCCCTGTGGTCCTGAGAAGCCCTGGGCGCCCCGACGGCTCCAGGGGAGCCCCCCACCCCCACCCAGAGCAGCTGGTGGCGTTCACGTGCAACCTGGGTGTCGCCTTCTCTCTCCCCAGCTGCCGTGGGAGCCGGGGGCCTGGGTTTCCGGGGTGATCCTGAGCTGAGCGGGCTGGGAGGGCTCTCGGATTGCTGCTCGGTGTTTCCTAAATAAAGGACCGGGGGGCCCTGGCAGGCACCGCTGCTCCCCACACAGCGACGCTTGGGCCACGGTGGTGCACCCGCTGTGGGGTCGCGGGCGGGGACCTGGCGTGCGTTCTCACACCTCCTCTGCTCTCACAGGTTCTGGGGTTTGAGATCGATGCTGTGAACTCTGTGCAGTTTTCAAACCACACAGGTGAGGCATCGGCTGTTGTCGTGGAGCTGAACGTGGGTGGGAGACCTGGCCCTGTGGCGCGCGGAAGCCACGCTGCTGTGGGTGGGTGAGGGACAGAGCCCCGGGGTGCGGGCAGGCGCTGAGAATGTTCTGGAACCCTGGGTTCTTGCGGTGTGAGGTCTTTGTAGCTGGCTTCTCGCACTCGCTCGTCTCCGTGCTGGACCGCGTCTGGTGTGTCCGTGCGCCGGCTGGTGGACACTTCAGCCCTGCCCTGGGTGCTGGCCCTTTTCGATTCTGCCCAGTGTGCTCCGAGGCATTGACGGTTGCGCCTGACTCCCCCAGCCGGGGGTTTTCACTGGGGGCCGGCACAGATGCCATCCGAAACTACAGGATCCAGAAGGGCCACCACGTGCCCACGAGCCACGTGTGTGCAGGGCCACGCCGAGTGGTTCTGGGTTTGGGGGCAGAGGCAGCCTCGGCACGGGTCTTTCCCTGTCCGGGCTCCTGGGGTTTAGCTCCGCAGTCCTGGGAGCAGGCAGCTGCTGTAGGGGCAGAGACCCCAGTGAGAGGGCTGGGGACAGCGTCCGGCAGTGCCTGGAAGGGGCGGCCCACCGCCCACGGTGGCCCTCCTGACCCAGGTGCCCCAGTAAAGTGGGAAGCTCCATCAGTGTCTCTGTGGCCAGTTCACCGTCCAAGTGTGTGTCACACGGTGTCCTACAGAACACCCGTGTGGATTCTGCTGCCCTGAGACCACGGCCGTCCCCGGAGCGGCTTTTGGCCGTGGTCATCGGCACGTGTCTGGGGCGGGATTCTGTAATGGCTGCTGAGAAAGCTAGGGGGTCCCTTCTCGTGCACCATCCAGCCCTCTGGCCTCCCCTGGCCTGCATGGCGCCGGCGTGGGACTCAGGGAGCTTGTGTCTGAGCCGGCTCTGGGACCCGGCGTGTGCCCGCAGTGCACACTTCAGAGGGGTCCCGCGTTCTAGGGGTGCAGCACCCCTCGCTGTAGGACTTCCGGGTCGGTGACGTGCGGGGCAGCCACAGACAGGGAGCTGCATTGCAGGAGGGGTCCCCGGAGGCTGGCGGTCCCGGGGTGCACACAGAGCAGGGCTCAAGAGGGATGGGGGCCGGGGGGAACGTGGACCCCTGCCATGGCCCGAGGGCTCAGGTGACAGTGACTCCTGGTTGTGGAGGGCTGGGAGTGTGTGCAGTGCAGGCCGGGGAGCAAGAACTGGGCCTGGCGTGCCGATGTGTGTGCCTGGGGTGTCCTGCCCAGTGTCCCCGGGGGTGTAGGTCCAGCATGCCCCATGTCTGTCACATTGAGGGGCTCCGGGCTCCTGCACAGATAGGTGCGGGATAGGGGGAGGGTCCCTGGGAGAGGGCTGCCCACTGCGTCCTCAGCCGTCCACTCTGCAGGCTACGCCCACTGGAAGGGCCAGGTGCTGACGTCCGACGAGCTGCACGAGCTGTACGAAGGCCTGAGGCTGAACAGCGTGAACCAGTACGACTACGTGCTCACGGGTGAGGCCGGCGGGCCGCCTCGGGAGGGCCCCGGGTGGGAAGGGGCGCTGGGTCTCACTGTGGGGTTCCTGGCCAGAGAAACCGGAATCCGTGTTTCTATTGCGGTTAAAATGACGGCTCATGATGGAAGATGCCGACAAGCAGGGCTGTCGGGGACCCCTTGGACTCCCCGGCCGCGGGAGTGGGGTGCAGGCGGGGCCTGACCGGCTGTCCCTCCCCAAGGTTACACAAGGGACAAGTCCTTCCTGGCCATGGTGGTGGACATCGTGCAGGAGCTGAAGCGGCAGAACCCCAGGCTCGTGTACGGTGGGTGCCGACCTGCCGCCCCGAGTGGCCGGGCCCTGGGGAGGGGCTCGCCGCCTGCCCGCTCAGCTCTGCCTCTGATGGGCACCGTGCAGGGCGCGGGCAGGCAGAGAGGAAGGGGGCCAGGTGTACAGGCCTGGGTGGTGGGGTGCAGGGCTCAGGTCTGTGTTGCAGACTTCCCTGCGGTCTGCCCGTCACCGCACCAGGACCCATGCAGACTGGCTGAGGCCTGTCCCTGGTGTCCGTCCCCCAGGTGTGCGTGGTGGGCCCCAGCCTCGCTGGCTTTGCCCGTACCATGAACGGTTCCCAGGGGAGCGGACAGGGGGCGGGAAGGGACAGCTGTCACTCAAGAAGCCGCAGGTGATCCTAAATCAGACAGGAGCCCCCCACGGAGGTTCCCCTGGGGCCGTGGCCTCCCCAGGCCGTGCTCGGGGTAGAAGAGAGATCAGTTCACTTTGCTCCTGGCAGGCCTGTGCTCCGTGCGTGACTGCTCATGGCGGGCATCCCGTGAGCCTTCTGGAGCCCGCGTGGGGGGTGCAGGCGTTGTGATGCCCCCTCGCTCCCAGGAGCGTGGCTGTGAGTTAATGAGAGAACAGTCTAGAAAATACCAGGTGCCGGGGACGTGGAGAAATCGTGCTCGGAGGGAGCGCCTGCGCCAAGCCCAGTGCCAGTCCTCAGAGCCCCAGACACATCCTGCCTGCCGCGGGGGAGCAGCCCCGGTGTCCCCGGGCAGAGGAGTGGACACAGCTAGACGCATGCCCGAGAGAATTACTTGGCCTTAAAGGGGACATCTGGTGAACCCAGAAAACCTTACACTGAGAGAGAAGCCAGGCCCTGACGGACAGACTTGGGGAGAGGGGTCCCCCCGACAGGCAGGCGGCCGAGTGCAGGTGCCGGGCTGGGGAACGAGGGGTCAGTGTTTGGGGGAAGAAGACGGCTCTGGCGGTGGACGGTGGGGCGCAGGCAGTGCCTGAGCCGTGACTTGCGGGACGTTAGAGAGCAAGGGGAAGCGGGGAGGTGGTCGCTCTGCTGACCGGTGCCCGTGTCCCCGTGTCCCCGCAGTGTGTGACCCGGTCATGGGCGACAAGTGGAGTGGCGAAGGCTCCATGGTGAGTACTTCCTGTGCGTTTCGAGTGAGCTCTTCCAGGGAGACAGAGGGAGGTGGCACGGGGCGGGGCTGCTGTCCACTGACCCCAGCCGTGGACGCCCGCGTGGGCGTGTGCCGTGCCACAGGGTGGCGTTCTGTTTTTTGACATTTTCCCCCAGATCATTCAAGAACATGCACATCGCTCTTAGCTCATGCCCTATACAAAAACGGGCAGGGGGCTGTCTCCGGGTGGCCCCAGTGAGGTGGGTGAGGTGGCAGTCCACAGGGAGGGGCCGGCATAGCCCCCTGCTGGTGCGCCTGGGAAGGCAGCAGAGGTCGGCCCAAGTGCTGGAGCCCCTGCACCCACATGGGAGACCTGGAAGGAGCTCCTGGCTCCTGGCTTCCGCCTGGCCCAGCCCTGGCTGTTGCTGCCATTTAGGGAGTGAACCAGCAGATGGAGGACAGCTCACTCTCGCTCGCTCTCTCTGCCTTTCAAATAAATCTTCAAAGAGAGAGAGAGGTGAGAACCATCCCATTGCCGTTATAGAAGCCTACAGTTGGATTTATTTATTGACTTAGTTTTTTTGCAAGGCAGAGAAATCTCCCAGCTCCTGGTTCACTCCCCAGTTTGCCTGCAGCAGCCGGGGCTGGGCCAGGCGGAAGCCAGGAGCTGGGCAGGCTGTCTGGGTCTCCCACGGGGGCGGCAGGGGTGCGAGTGCTTGAGCCGTCGGCGTGCGCGTCCGCAGGAAGCTGGACTCCGGAGCAGAGCGGCGACTCGACCCCAGGTGCCCCAGCCTGGAGGCCGACTCTCAGCCGCCAGACCCGCGTCCCCCGTAGCAGGATGCAGAGGGCCGGCGCGGACGCCGTCCCACCCGCAGGTGTCTGCCTGCCCAGCTCAGCGCCCAGGCAGTGTGTGTGGTGCACACCCGGTTGACGGCATTGAGTTTGCCCATCTGCTGGTGTCCACGCTGGCCCTGGCCACGTCCAGGCTGCTGCCCTCCCTGCCCCCTTGGCCAGCACCTGTGGTCCCTGGCCTGCCCCATGCGGGTCTTTCCGTCCCCGTTCTCCCGTGCCTGTGTTCTGGAAGGTTCTGTGCACCAGGCGCCTCCCTCCCCGTCCGGCGTGCTGCTCCAGGCAGCGAGCTCCGCTGACCCCAGGCGAGGCTCGCGGAGCTGAGCCCCCGGCCCAGTTCAGTGCGGCTTCAGGCTCTGTCCTCGACGTGACCCGGTTCGTTTTCCTTGTCGGCCGAGACCGGCATGGACGCGAACAGTTCACGGCTTAGGTTTAGGCAGGCGGTGGGCCCACATCTCACACCTCGAAGGGCCTCTCTCTGATGTCCTGGTCACCGTCCTTGGTGCTCCCAGCTTGGGCTGGGCAGCGGGCACCACGTGGGCCCCTCGGCTGCCCGGACCACCATGCACGCAGGGACATCTGCGTGGGGCCTCGTACCCCAGAGTTCACGGAGCAGACTGAGCCCGAGTGGCTGGGAGATGTCCCAGGCTGCCTCGGGCGAGGGGTTCTCGTGAGAGATCCAGTAGCTGAAGGCAGGCGTCCCCCCCACCCCGGGAGCCACCGGGGCCCCTCGCCGCCCCTCCCCCCACTTTGTGCCCTGGTCATCATAGGAGCACCGGGCACTCAGCCTCATCCCCTCCTCATCCTGTGATGCCGGGGCCAGACCCCTCTCCGTCCCTGCCCCGAGCGCGGAGCTGAGGTTCCCGGCTCTGGTTCCCTTGACCGGCACTGCCGAGCGCTGTGCGTGTCACCCATCCACAGCGGCGGTGCCGGTGTCCCCAGGGCCAGTGCCCCACAGGTGTGGGCGTCAGCACCTGCTCTGTCCCTCTGTCCTCAGTACGTGCCGGAGGACCTGCTGCCCGTGTACAGAGACCAGGTGGTGCCCGTGGCTGACATCATCACCCCCAACCAGTTTGAGGCCGAGTGAGTACCACCGGCGCTGAAGCAGGCTTGCTCGGGGCCCTGCTCGGGGTGTGGCCCGGCCTGGCCCCAGGGGGCTCCCCAGGGGGAGGGGAGCAGGTCGCCCCAAGGCTGCCCGACCCCGGCTCCCCGTGTTCCCGAGCAGCTAGGCAGGGACGGGGCTGGTGAGTGGGCGCCCCGGCTCTCTCCCACACCAGCATCAAGTTTCCAGGCCTGTCTCTGGCTGTCAGGCCCCCCTGACCTGTGACCCCGCGCTCACAGTCGGGTGGGGCTCCTGGGGGTCCCAGGCCTCTCCCCTGAGGACTGCGCCATGGCGGGCCCGGGGGAGGTGTTCCCTGCCCTCGGTGTGCCCACAGCATCAGCTCTGGGACTGTGGCCCATGGGCCCTCGCCTCGTCACGGGCCAGTGTGACCGTGCCTGGGCCCCTGAGCCCTGTGGTGAGCGTGTCTGTAGCCTCGTGTCCTGACCCGTCACGCGGCCACCCACATGGCCCGACCATGCCAGGCTGATTCCCGTGGGGAGGAGGGCCTCAGCCCAGCCCCGGGGCTTTGTGGGGGCCGCCCGGCGCAGGCGTCTCAAGGCTCTGCGCCCCTGTCTGTCCGTCTGTCTGTCCGTCTCCCAGGTTGCTGAGTGGCAGGAAGATCCGCAGCCAGGAGGAAGCCTTGGAGGTGAGGAGCCCTCGGAGGCGATCTGGGAAGGGTACGCAGGCAGCGCCGGCTCCGTGCTTCGTCGGCTGCATTGGGGCCGGCGTTGTCAGCTCCCCGCGGGCTGAGGTCTCTGCCGGCCAGCGTCCACGGTCCCCCTGCCAGGCACCACGGGCTGGCTCCCTCCCAGGAGAGGGTCCCCCCGGCCTCGCTGGCCAGCAGCCCCTGGGGGCCCTGTCGTGGACGTGTCGCTCCCCTCCCGGGCTGTGCCACTGCGTGGACGCCTGTCCCGTCTCCTGGTGAGGACACCCAGGTGCAGGCCTGGGGCCCCCACTTCTCCACGACAGCCTCCGCCTGTCACACCCGTGTGGCACCGGGCTAGCCCGGCAGTCGCCCCATGCGTGGGCCCCTCCTGTCCACACGGGTGCCTCGCACCCGTCTACACTTCTGCTCAGAGACCAGCAGGGGCGGGGCCCATAGCCACGTGTGTCTCCACGGGCAGCGAGGGGCGGCTCACCTGCCCTGGCCACTGATCCTCCAGCCAACTCCAGGGGGTGTCCTGCTGCCCAGCCTGAGGCCCACGCTCAGAGCCACAGATGTGCACTGCGTGGGCACCGAGTGTGTGCCGGTGCCGTGGAGTCTCCTCTGGCCACCAGCGAGCAGCTAAAAACATGCGTGCCGGTCAGACCCGCAGGAGCCGCGGGGGGCCGTGAAGTGTGTGCATGTGCTGTGTGTGTGCCTGTGGGGGGGGGGCGTTAGACCTGCAGGAGCTGAGGGGGTGTGGTGTGCCTGTGTGTGTGTGTGTGTGTGTGTGTGGCGGGGGGTGTTAGACCTGCAGGAGCTGAGGGGGGTGTGGTGTGCCTGTGTGTGTGTGTGTGTGTGTGTGTGTGGGTTCACGTGGGGGGGGGGGCGTTAGACCTGTAGGAGCTGAGGGGGTGTGGTGTGCCTGTGTGGGTGTGTGGGTGTGTGTGTGGGTGGGTTCACGTGTGTGTGGGGGGGCGTTAGACCTGTAGGAGCCATGGGGGGGTGTGGTTTGTATGCGTGTGCCTGTGTGTGTTCCTGTGTGGTGGAGGTATTAGACAGGCTGCAGAAGCCCCCAGAGGCATGGGGGGAGGGGGGTCAGGGGTGGGACAGCTGCACCTCCCCAGCCTATGCTTGGCCTTGGCACCCGGGGTGTGATCACGGAGTGCTGCCCGGAGGAGGCTACACAGTGAGGACAGGAGCTTCCGCCTGAGTCGTAGAAAAGCCAGCCAAGGCCAGAGTCTCCCTGCTGTGGGGCGTGGCCCGTCCCTGAGAACAGGAGACCCCACCCTGGTCACCCTGGGGTGAGCCACTCAGCCTGAGTGTGTGTGTGCAGTGCAAGGCGGCACTGGGCCCAGGGCTCTGGCCCAGGGTGGGCGTGGTTCTCGGGTTGCAGCCCCATCGTCCCCATGTCCTGACGCCCAGCCCAGGCAGAGCTCTGGCCCCGAGGCAGGGCTGGGCCGGGTCCTGCTGATCCCCCCACTCCGGGAGCCCGAGGCAGGGCTGGGCCAGGTCCTCCTGGTCCCCCACTCCCGGAGCCCCGAGGCTGGGCTGGGCCAGGTCCTCCTGGTCCCCCACTCCCGGAGCCCCGAGGCTGGGCTGGGCCGGGTCCTCCTGGTGCTCCCCGAGCCCCGAGGCAGGGCTGGGCCGGGTCCTCCTGGTGCTCCCGGAGCCCCAAGGCAGGGCTGGTGAGGGAGCAGCTGCCGCTGACGCGCCGGTGCCGCCACAGGTGATGGACGTGCTACACTCCATGGGCCCCGACACCGTGGTCATCACCAGCTCCGACCTGCCCTCCCCGCGGGGCAGCGACTACCTGATGGCGCTCGGCAGCCAGCGGATACGTGAGTGCGCCCCGGCCCTGCCCGGCCCCCGAGGACGGCCGGGGCTCACGGGGGAAACCAAGGCCTCGCTCTGCAAGTAGTTAGCTTCTGAGCTCGGTCAGCAGGAGGCCGCCCGGCTTCCTCGGGGCTTGGTTTCTGCAGTGTTGGGGTGGGGGAGGGCGGTCCTCTGGGGACCAGCGGGTCCATGCTGAGCCCACCACCCGGTGCCCCCAGGGCCATCCTGACCGTGGCCCTCCAAGGTTCCACTCTCACGTTCCGCCCGAGGACTGGGCAGTCGCTGGGGTGGGGGAGGGGTCGAGGGCCCCCAGCCTTGTCCATGGGGTCCTGCCTGCCGCTGTGAGGACGGACAGGGCCGGGGCTGGGGTCCCAGGGGTCGGGCTTGTCTTCTGCCCTCAGGGGGGCCTGACGGCTCCTGCGTGACCCAGCGCATCCGGGTGGACATGCATAGGGTGGACGCCGTCTTCGTGGGCACTGGGGACCTCTTTGCTGCCATGCTGCTGGCCTGGACGCACAAGCACCCCGATAACCTCAAGGTCAGCCCCGTGCCTGCTGCCGCCATGCCTTGCGGGGAGTTGGTCAGGGTGGTCAGAGACGGAGGAAGAGGATACGGGCTCAGCCAAGAGGGCGGGGCTCCAGGGCCCCGGGGTGCTCACTGCTGATTGCTGCCCTGCCCCTTGTTTGGGAGGGAGGGCCGCCCAGTGCCGCGGGGCTGGGCTGTGTTTAGAAGCCACCCTGGACTCAGCCAGGCCCCCAGGAGGGAGAGCCCCGAGGCCGGTGGACCAGTGCCAGGGAGAAGCCGATAGGTGCACCGGGCTGCCGATTCTGGGTGACCAGGTGCTGGTTCCAGAGAGCAGCACGGCCTGGGCGCCCCCAGTGGCAGCCAGAAGCCTCGCTTTGGGGTCTGAGAGGCAGGGTCACCGGGTGAGGGCGGCCCGGTCTCAGCTTGGGGGCCGTGTACGTGGGCCGTGTCTCCTCTGTGTGTGCACTCGCACGGAGACCGGGCTGCTGCGTGGAGCCGAGCACTCCAGTGTCCCCTGCTCTGGTGAACTGGGGTGGGCGGCCCCTCCTCCCACGGGCCAGCCCGCTGCAGACCAAGTCCAGGCCTGGGATGTGGGGCCCCTCCTGGGGTGGGGGGTGGGTCTGGCCCCCGCCACTTGGTGGCGGCAGTGGGAGCCGCCTTTGGTCAGGATAGTGGACACGAGCCAGCAGCCGCCCATCTGGGTTTAGCCGGTCCAGGGCTGGGGGTCTGGGCTGTAGCCCCCGCCGAGCCCCCAGCCTTTAGGCAGTGAGTGATGATGGCGAGTTTCAGGCCGGAGTCCTTTCCCCTACAGATTCTTTGTAACAAATCCGCCCCAAGAACTGGTTAGGCACCTGCTGTGTGCCAGGTGACGAGGCCAGAGGCCACGGGTCCCTCCCAGAGCGAGCGTCTGCCTAGCTTCCCTGGGACCCCCGCAGTGGGCTTGTCCTGGGGCCACTGGCCGGCCCAGGCTGGCTCAGAGCACAAGCAGGGGAGGGGCCGGGCGGCGGTGGGCAGCGTCTGGGCTGAGCGGCTGGGGTTGGGGTCTCGTCCCCGCAGATGGCCTGTGAGAAGACGGTGTCGGCCATGCAGCACGTGCTACAAAGGACCATCCAGTGCGCACAAGGTACCCCCTGCAGGAACTCGGGCCCCGCCCCTCCGCTGACCCCGCCCCTCCGCTGACCCCGCCCTTGTCCCGCAGCCCAGGCTGGGGAGGGGCGGAAGCCCAGCCCGGCCCAGCTGGAGCTGAGGATGGTGCAGAGCAAGCGGGACATCGAGGACCCCGAGATCGTCGTGCAGGCCACGGTCCTGTGAGGCCGCGCCCGCCGTGGCGCGCAGTGTGTCGGCGTCCCCGGGCCCGAGACTTGTGTTGTTGTCCCTCGTAACCGGCCTCGATCGTGACACGTGCCAGCCCTGCTTCGTACGACACAGCAGTCACAGCCACCCGGGATGGATTGGGAGGCCCCGCTCCCCTCCGCCGAGGCTCGGGCCCCCTGGGAGAGCGGCTCCGTCCCTCTGCCTGGGGGCGTGGCCGGGGGGGCGGCCCGCTGCCCGTGTGCTCGCGCTGGGCCGCTGACTGCCACCAGATTCCCCGTGCCCCCTGGGCTGGCGCCTCTGGGCGTCGAAGGCCCCGCCCATCTCGCCTGTCGTCTGGTCGTGCCCTCTTTGTCTCTGTCGAGTTCTTGTTTGTCTGCTGCTTTCCCAGGCCCCTGGGGGTCTCACGTCTCACACAGTGGTTTGACTGAAGGGAACCATTTACCGTCTGTCCAGGTGCACACAGGCACCGTGGCCACACGGACAGGGACCAGTGAGGTCAGGTGGGTCCACAGCCTCCCCGGGGGTCGGCGCCGCCTCCCGTGTGTGCCCGGGGCTCCCCCAGTGGGGGTAGCGCTGGGCCTGGGTGGCCGTGAGGGCCTGGGGAGGCAGCCATGGGTGTTCACCTTGAACACCGAGCCTGGTTAATGGTGCTGCGTGTTGGCCACTGTGTGTGTGTGGAGGCAGGGACAGTGGACCGAGGGGCAGTGTCCCCACTCCTGTCCCCTCCCCGCAGCTCCGTGATCTGTGCCAGCTGCAGGCAGGGAGGTCCTTCCTGGCAAGTGACGGCACTGGCGTGGTACGGGTGGGGCAGCCCTCAGACCCCCAGATAAAGGCCGCAGCCACAGCCAGGCAGGGCCCAGGGTCTGGGGGCCCTGACCCTAGCATCCCATCCCCCAACCAGAGGTCTACATCTGGGAACCCACAGCTGGGAGAGACATGGGGAGACAGCAAGAAGTGGGGCCCCTGTGGCTCCACGAGAGCAGACTGGGGGTACCCCTGCCCCCCACTGCCAGCCCCCACCCCACCGCCTGCACCTCTCCAGGGTGTGCAGTTCCAGGGTCTTCCAGAAGCCCACCCACCAGCAGGGCGTCCTCCTCTGTTGGCAAAGGCCCTGGAGCAGATGCTGGGGCGCCCTGAGTCCTCCCTCAAGTGCCCCAGGCCGGGCAGCTCCTCTCCGTGGCCACCCAGTGGAGCCCAGTGTGCGGGTCCCCAGGACACAGGGCTGGCTCCTTGGCGCCCAGCTGCTGGGCCCCACCAGGCCCCCCAACCAGCAGGAGGAGGGCGGCAGTGGCCAGTGCCCTGGAGGGAGGCAGCCTCCCTGGAGGGTGTGGTGAGCGCAGGGACCGGGCGGACGACACAGGGCCTTGTTGGGGAAGAGCCGCTGAGGGCGTGGCCACGGTGCCGACTTCAAAGCACAGGTATCTTTTTTTTTTTTTTTTTTTTCTAGTATCAGGATCAAATCTAGGACTGGAACAGAAATGTCTTTGAGACGCTGAGGCTGGGGTAGGGGCTGGCGCATGCCGAGGCCTTGCGGGACGCCTGCCTCCTCTCGGAGGTGGGGTCCCCGTGCCTTGGTTCCTCCTCTCCCCTGCGTTACCCGTGGTGGCACCAGGGTCGTGCCCTGCACTCCTGCAGCACAGCCGCATGTTGTCCCCTTTGGCCATACAGCCCGCGTGACCAGGAGGGCTGTGGCTGAGCCATGCGAGGGGCCGGGGCGACACCCGGGTTTCTGGGAGTGGGTGGTGCCTTGGCAGCAGGCAGGACTCGTGCAGGAAGAGGATGTCGGGGACTGGGGACCCCCATGCCCCAGGCTCGTCTCCCCGGGGAGGGGCACAGCCCCTCCACTGCATGTGGGCCCCAGCGACCGTGGGCACGGGTGGGCAGGGTTTCAGATGCATCTGGGATCCAGGTGACTGTTCTGTGGCTGAGTGGCGCGTGGGGGCCGCGCCTGCCTGCTACTCCCAGGTGCATAGCCGCCCAGGCTCTACTCCAGCCGTGCACGTCTTGTCCCTTGGACTGCACGTGCTCCTTTTAAAACTGCACCAGTCCCACCAGGGGGGCTGTGCCAGGGAGTCCCGGCACCAGGACTGTGAGAGGCGTGGGTGAGCACGGCGAGCGGCGGGCTGGAGCCACCCCAGGACCTGCACCCTCGCGGGGCAGAGCAGGCACAGGCTGGCGCAGGCTGCCGTGGCGTGGGGAGCAGCTGGCCGGGCTCCCCGCGGCGTCCCACTGTTGGCACCTGGCTTCCTCTCTGGTAGGAGGCGAGCATGGTCTCGCCACAGCTCGGCTCCCCCTCTCCTCTAGCAGGACCAGCTGCGTGTGGGGAGGGGTCCACACTGATGCTACCCAGCGGTAGCACACGGCTGCCTGGATGGCCAGGAGTCCCCTTCCTCCCGGGGCTTCCCAAGCCCCCGCCTGGGCCTGGACTTGAGTGGGCAGTGTGGGGTCTGTGCGCCTGGGCCTGGACTTGAGTGGGCAGTGTGGGTTCTGTGCGCGTGGGGCACGGGAACTTCGCTCTGAGTGCCCCCCCCCAGGTGGGTGTTGGGGGGAGCCACGCACCCTGCCCCGAGAGGAGGAGCTGCTGAATTTGTGTCCCGCCACCCGGCCTAGGGGCCCCCCTCCCCGCCGTCTCCTCTGCAGTTCCCTGTACTAACACTCCCAGCAGAAAGACCCAAGCCTCCCTAAGCAGGGCCCTAGACCTTGATGCCAGCTGGCCTGGGCGTGGCCACAGCCCCCAGGACTCCTGGCACATGAGCTGCGGGGGAGCTGGGCGTGTGGGGTCCTTGCCGCAGGTGCAAAGGGTGCGGCACACCTGTGTCCTGGGGACAGTGTGGGTCCTGCGTCTCCAGGCTGGGTGCCAGCAAGGGTCAGCCGCCCTTGTGGGGATTTTTTTAACTGTACATCTCTGTTAGATCGTGTGCTCGGTGCCCCGCCCCGGCTCTGCAGGACAGCTGCCCGGGAGCTGCTGCTGGCCTCTCCCGCCCCAGGCTCGGGCCCCTCTGTGGTGTATGTGTCCCTGCCGACTCCGGTTCACTCTGGGTGCAGGATGTTCTAGAATGTTCTCTGTCCTTAATGTTCAAAGACATTAGTTATAAAATGAAGTCTTATAACGCAGATTCCTGCCTTCCGTGACGACGTGTGTGTGTGTGAAACAATTCAACAAGTAACTTAGACCTGACTTAGTGAATGTCTGAAAACTATATTCATGGGAAGTTGTTCTGGAGGTGTGTTCTGTTTTTTTAAATTCTGGAAGAATAAACAGGTGTTTTTGAAGTTTCCCGCTGTCTGGGCTGAGCCAGGACCCTGTCCTCAGCAGGGCGTCCGCGCTCTCCCTGGCCCCGGCCTCGCCCCTGCCCCCTCCCTCAGCTCACTGAGGGGACCCCGTCTCTGGTGGGAGCATCTTCAGGCCCTGGGGCTCCCTCCCTGGCTGGGGGACGTCACTGTCTTGAAGACGGATGGCAGGGGCAGAACCAGGTGGGTGGGCACACAGGGCCGGCCATGGGCTGGGGGTGTCATTCGGGACCTCTGCAACTTCACAGCCTGGCAGGTGTCACCCAGCGAGGGGCCGAGGCGCTGCCTGGAGCCCGGGGGCTTGCCCGGCTCCGGCAGCTCCATGCGTCTGTGTCTGTGCACGTCTGTCCTGTGCTGGTCCCGTGCCGTGTGCGATGAGCCACAAATAAATGTTTTCTGGTGACGCGTGGCCCCGTGGTTCCTCCCGCCGCCCCTTCCCCGTTAGCAGGTGTGGGAGGCTTGGAGCCGTGTCATCCACACAGCCTAGCCAAGGTCACTGCGGGGAAGAGCTGCCCGTCACGGCCCAGGTCCCCGTCCCACAGCTTCTGCGAGCCTCGGGAGTGGCGGGGGGCAGAGTGGCGGGAGAAGGGGTGGCACCTGCAGACCCCAGCCCTCCCTGTGCCTCACAGAGCTGCACTCCTGTCCTGACCCCTTCTGTGACTGGGGCCTCATCCGGGAGCGGGGTCTTCCGGGGGGCAGGTGGCTCTGGTGGGGTCCTCCTGGGGCAGAGCGGGCCCTCTTCTGTGACTGGCGGCCTGACGGGCACCTGGAGTGACGCGACCCCGAGTCAGGGTCGCTGCAGCTTCAAGGGCTGGACAAGCACGGTGCTGAATGGTGGTCTCACTAGGGCAGCCCCCCACCAAGATGATGCCTTGAGGCTTTGACAGGTGCAAACCAGGGGCGTGGCCTCACTGCCCCTTCGGCCACCATGGCAGCGGCCCATGGCGCTGCCCCCAAGACCAGCGGGGTCCACGGTTTCCTAAGTGCAGGTGACTGTCATTGCCAGCCCTGGACCTGCCATCGCTGGCAAAGGGATGTGGCCGCAGCTCGGCACTTCACGGCCGGCTGCTGGGCTGGCGGCGTCTGAGCGCCGGACCCCAGCCCGGGCTCTTGCCGGCGCCTCCTGGCTGAGCCCCTCCTGCCACCCCAGGGCACATCTCGTAGCCACCGGGCAGGTGGGCCAGAGGCCTGCTGGACTTGGGATCTCTGCTCTTGGTCCCCGAGGAGCCCAAAGGACAGAGCCATGTGGGGACGTGTCTGGTGGCCCCGCCCACCGCTCCCAGGCCTGGCAGCAGCCCCCTGGGAAGAGGCTGAGCTGCACCTGTTGTCAGTCCAGCTGGCCACCCCAGCCTTGTCCAGGACGGCAGCTCTGGCCAACACACCGTTCTCCACCCTGCACGCTGCAGGTGGCGCTGCCTCTCCCCAGGCTGACGCCCTGGCCCGGCTCTGCGGTGGGCACCCTGCCCTGGCCTCGCCTGGGCTCCCCTTAGTTAACACGGCTGCACTTGATGCCAGAATGTGGGCCCCCGTGACCCCACTGCCCCCGGTCGCAACGAGGAGAGACTGGGTCTGGGTGACACTGTCCCCGGTCACCTGCTGGAGCAAGCCCCTTCTGTCCTCAGCCTGGCACAGCCTCAGGTGTGGGAAGGAGGGCAGAGGGCCAGCAGAGCACCTGTGGTCACTACTGGACACCCAGGAGCAGGACTGCTCCCGGCAGCCGCAGGACATCCCAGACGCTCACGACGCCGTTGGCTCCCCAGGTCTGCCTTGCCTCTTGCACAGTTTGCATCCAATTATATATCCTCCCTCTAAGGAGATCTAATCGCATCCACGGGCCAGGCCTGCTCTGTGAAAGCCAGCAGCCGAGGGGAGGGAGGGCGGGCGGGCGGGCAGGCAGGGTGGCCCCGGCTCCTTCCCGCTGCCCCCAGCCCTCTCGGCCAGCTAAGGGCCGGGGGAGGAGTTGCTGTGGAAGGGAGCCCCAGGGGGGTCCCCACTTGGCGGGGTCAGCGCTAGGCTGGGTCTGAGTGGCGGATGGTGGAGGCTGCCCCTGGGCCGCCGTCCCGATGCTCAAGTGAAGTCAGACTCCACCATGTTCAAGTGGACAACCCGGGGGCCTGCACTGGGGGGAGGGGGGCGGGGGGCAGGGGATCCCACGGGGCGCTGGCTCCCAGCCAGCTCCCTGCTACTGCACCCGGGAGGGAGTGGATGACGGCTTCATTCACTCTGGGGCCAGGGGCCGGGGCTGACCACCACACTGCTGGGCACCCCCAGGGCCTCTGCTCTGGCTGCTCCGTGACGCATGGCTCATGCAGGGGACGAGTCTTTGTCCTGTGGCCACTATGCGGCCTGCTGGCCTCCCCTCGGCTACCAGCTCTTGCCCAGCCCCTCGCGCTCCCTGGAGGGCCCCAGCCCCCTGGCCTCCAGTGGCCTCCAGCTCTCACCTCCGATCTCAGCTGGGGCAGGGCCTCCCCTGACAGGCTCCCAGCTGTCTCCACGCTCAGAGCCTCCCCAGGGTGGGCAGCACAGGCTCCACCTCCCCGTGGGACCCGCTGTCCCTGACCTGTGCCCCCGCGGCGGGTACACACTGACCCCTTTGGTGCGGCGTCGGGAAGACGACCCGGACTTCTGGGCTGCTGCTTCTGGTGTTTTCCAAGTTCCTTGCACACAACGCGAGGGCGATCCCTCACACCAGCCCGCGTGTGAACCACGCGTCGGTCACGCCACACTGCCCGTCTGGAGGCTGCTGCCGTTCCCACGGATACAAGTGACTGCAGTGTCGTGGACCCCCACGCCCGCCTGCTGGGCACAGGCTGCGGCCCCCCCACTGCCCCCCCCACCTCCGGCAGCCCCGGATGGGAAAGGAAGGCTTCACTTCTGCCGGTTCCGGTTTCTCAAGGCCCACAGGCGTGACAAAGCTTATTCACGTGAGGTCTCAGAGCTGTGCACGCCGCGACCCTCAGGTCACGGCCTGAGCCCTGCACGTGTCTGTGACCGGTGGAGAGCGGGGGCATGAACGCCACACCCACGAGCACGGCAGGCCCCACACGCGTGATGTCTGTTCTCGAAAACCAAGGCGCTGACGTCACAGCCGGGAAGTGGCCTTGCCCTCGCCATCCCGCACTCCCACACGCCTCTGCGTGCACCTGTGGTTCCCAGGGGCTCCGGCTGGACGGGGCCGGCGGCTCCCCCTGCAGTGCGCGGTGTGCCCACGTGGCCGTGAAGCTCTGGACCAAAGCCCTGAACGCATCTACTCGACTCCCTTGTAGGGGAAACTGAGGCGCAGGGACAGAACCCAGCACACAAGAGCAGGCGGGCGCCCAGGTAAGAACCCAGGGCCCAGTGCTCTCTCGTAGGCCCCTGGCCGCACGGCCCAGAGCAGGCGGCGCTGCTCGGGCTGAGAACACACCGCGTGAACATGCGTCACGCTCCCCTAGACACGTCTACGCGGCGACCACGGCTTCAGAGGAAGAAACGAGCCCAAAACAAGAGATTTGTAAAGACTTAAAATAAATGCTTATTTAAAGATAAGAAAGCAGCTGGGGTCACTGACTGGGATGGAGAGACCCTGCCCCGCCCCCGCAGCCCAGCGTGGGGGTGAGGCGCATTCGGGGGCCCCGCCCAGGCTGGCAGGGAGACCATCCCCCCGTGGTCCCGTGGCCGGGCCATGCGGCGTGGCGGAGCTAGAAGTAGGTGAGCTCGTCGTGCTCCGCCTTGTTGGCCTGGTAGGCGGCCAGGCTCAGGGGCTTGTTTTCGTGTGGGAGACTCCTGAACACGCGCAGGTGTATGAAGCGGTCGTCACCGACGTGGACCTGAAAGACAGCACTGTGAGCCAGGGCCCAGGAGCCGCAGGGCCCACACGCCCACGCCCACGCCCCCAGGCACCCGTGCCCCCAGGAGCCACCCGGCCCACACCCCCACGCCCCCAGGAGCTGCCCAGCCCACACCCCCACGCCCCCAGGAGCCACCCAGCCCACAAACTCACCCGCCAAGCCTGCAGGAGCCGCTGGGCATACACACCCACGCGCCCGCACCCCCAGGAGCCGCCCAGCCCATGCCCCCACGCGCCCGCGCCCACACGAAGGTGTCAGGACCTGGCCGCTGGGCTGGGTGCAGCCGCTGCGTCTGCCTTCCAGTGCAAAGTCCCTGCACACCCCACACTCACTCCTGCCACACCCACTCTGACACTAGACTTGGGGGCCAAGCACCCTTGGGCTGGGCAGCCACATGAGCCCCCATTCAACACCTCTGCCCTGGCCACAGGGCCACACCCCAGGGTCCGCACCCGCTCCTGGCCAGCCCGCCCGGCCTGCACCTGCTCGTGGCCAGCCCTCCCGGCCCGCACCCGCTCCTGGCCAGCCCTCCCAGGCCCACACCCCAGGACCTGCACCCTCTCCTGGCCAGCCCTCCCGGCCCGCACCCGCTCCTGGCCTGCCCTCCCGGCCCACACCCACCTTGATGAAGTAGTTGGTCCCTGCGACCACCTGGCTCTTGAACGACATGGCCTTAAAGACGTCGAACTTGCAATTTTCCTTCTCTTCCAGCTGGGCTTTCACCTGGGGAGGGAGCGTGGGGAGGGCTCAGCGGCGCCCTCCGTGGGACTGCCCGCCCGCGAGTGGACGAGGCCGCTGCCAGCCCGTTCCGCCCCAGGAGGGACTGGGCGTCTGTCCCTCACGGCTGCAGAGGCTACGGCACTGCTCACTGCGGACAGCCGGCCGCGAAGCCTGTCACACTCACCACGTACACCGCCTTCTATGTTATTCTAATGTCGTCTCGGACTTAATCTTCCACTTCACACATTACCTTGTTTTGGCTTTTTTTTCTTTTTTAAGTATATTTGAAAAGCACAGTCATAGAGAGGAAGAGAGGCGTCTTCCATCTGCTGGTTCACTCCCCAAATGGCCACAAGCGCTGGGGCTGGGCCCGGTGGAAGCCAGGAGTCTGGAGCTCCATCCAGGTCTCCCATGTGGGTGCAGGGGCTCAAGGACTTGACCCCAACGGCCAAGTCCCTGCATCAGCAGGGAGCTGGATCAGAAGTGGAGCAGCCGGGACTCGAACCCAAGCTCATGAGGAGGCCAGCACCACAGGCAGCCGTTCAAGCTGCTGCACCGGGAAGCAGCCCCCCTTAGTTCTCGTAACCATTCCCTGGCTGTGTGCGTCCAGCTGGGGTAACCTGCAGTAACAGGTAAGGCAGCACTGTGGCGGAGCGGGTAAAGCCAGCACCTGAGTGCCGGCATCCCATATGGGCGCCAGTTCGAGTCCCGGCTGCTCCACTCCTGATCCAGCTCTCTGCTGTGGCCTGGGAGAGCAGTGGACGATGGCCCAGTGCCTGGGCCCCTGCACCCACATGGGAGACCTAGGAAAGGCTCCTGGCTTCGGATCAGTGCAGCTCCAGCCGTTGCAACCATTTGGGGAGTGAACCATCCATGGAAGATTCTCTAACTGTGCCTTTCAAATAAGCAAACCAATCTTTCTAAAAAAGCACTGTATCTGCACTGAGATGATCTCTAGCCCACAGCCCTCGTCTCGGGGGCGACATCGGAGTCCCGCGCGGTTCAGCCCCGGCTCCCAGGGTCGGCCTTCGCAGGTGAGCGTGGTGACCAGGGTGGGAAGAGGGAGTCCAGCTTTGCTTTTCCTTTAGACTTAAACCTACTGCAGTCCGATGCTGCTTGTCCAACTCAACTGGGGGCCTCGGCCACGTGAGCTGTCCAGCGACACACAGTGGTCCCAGGGGATTAGCGGTGTCCACGGGAAAAACCAGACATGGCGGAGAGCGGGCCCCAGGGAGCACGCTGCACCAGAAACACGGAGGCCGGTGTAGCAGGCCAGGAGTGGCCAGGGCAATCTGATCCCAGGCACGGTCCCCTGCAGTGCCTCACCCTCGCTGGGGACAGCACGCCGGGGCAGGATGGCTGGAGAGCTGGGGGTGGGAGAAGGCCCTGTCCTCATGCTGGCTTCTTGCTGCACAGGGCCAGAGCCCACCTCCGTCTCCACACAGGAGCTGTGCTGCACCTGTGGGACCCACAGGCCAGTGGCCAGCCCTAGGGGTGGGAGGGTGGCCACTGCCTCCCCGCCCACGCTGGAGTTTGCAAACGACGTGGGAAGGAAGGACTTGCAGGGGCCGAAAATGCCAGGGCTGGTCACTCGTGTGGAGGGCGGCTCCCGGCCGGACTTTGTCCAGGAAGCGCAGGTGAGCAGTCCCGGTGCCGGGTCAGGCTCAGGGACCCCGGCTTGGAACTGATTCCCCGGGAGCAGCAAAGGGGGCTCACCCAGGGCACCCCCAGCCAGAGGACCTCACAGCTGCACCTGCCGCCCCGCGACCACCGGCCAGCGGCTCCTCCTAGGGGACCGGCAGCTGCCCACTCCCAGCGCAGGAAGAACCGACCCCACACTCGCGGGGAGAGAGGCAGGGGAGGGAGGCAGGGCTTCCGGGCCGTGGCCGGGGCCCGCGAATCGGGGCAGACTCCCCATAGTCAGAGGCCGGGGCGCCGACGCACCGCCCGGCCCTGTGGTCACCTGGGCGGCCCCACCTCCGCCGCCCGCGAGGGGCAGGGCCCGGGAGCGAGTGGGTCTGGGGTCCCTCTCCCGGCTGGCTCGAGGAGGCTGGGGCCGGCCGGCCACGGGATCCGAGTCGACCCCTGCTCCGTCTACACAGGCGCGGCGGCTCCGAGGCCTGCCCCTCGAAGCCCGGACACGCGCGTCCTCGCGGCTCACCTGGTCGGCGATGTCCTGGGTCTCGGCGGTGGCGGGCTGCGCGGGGGAAGGCGCTCCGCACATCATCGTGGCGACGCTGACAGCGAGCCGAGCCGCACCGCCAAGTATACCTGCGGCCCCTCCCGCCCGCGGGGCGCGGCGGTCACGTGACGCGCGGGCCGAACCACGGCGCGGCTCGGGGGGGTGCGGCCGCCGCGCGGTCCCGGCGCCCCCAGTCGCAGCTGCGCCGGCCGGGCCGAGCCGGAGCCAGGGCCGAGACCCGGTGCGGGAGGAGAACTTAGCCGTGCCCTCTGCCGCGGGTTCTGGCTCTGGAGTTGGGGCGGGGTATCCGGCAGGGAGCGTCCCCCCCACGCCGGGTTGGTGTCGCCCTGAGCCCGGCGGCCGAGTCACGAGGAGAGGGTGGGGGCGTGATTTCCCGAGGTGCCCCGCCCAGGAGGCGTGGCGCTGCGGTGTGGGGGCGGGCCTGGCCGGGGTCGGGTGGGTGGGGGTCCTGGCTCCTGTACGAGTGTGGGAAACTCTGCGGGCACAGGTTCTTCGCTCTGCGGGGAGGGGCGGGCCCTGCCGGGGGCGGTGGCAGGTCCGGTCCCAGTGAGAGTGGGCTGGGCATGGGGGAGCCTGGAGGGTCCCGGCTGCGGTGGTGGGTGGGCCCAGCCAGCAGGACCCTGGGTGAGGCGATCTAGCGAGGCCTGGACCTTCGGGCCCCGTTGAGGGGTTCTGGCATGGGGACCCCGGCCGACCTGGGAGAGCTGGGCTGCAGTGGACATCGGTGGGTGATGGCGATACAGGGAAGGGCTGAGTGGGCCCGCAGAGGGGCGGGGTTCCGGTGCTGGCTGCAGGGGGAGGGAGGGGCCCCAACCCTGTCCGGGCAGGGGTGGGGTCTTGCTAGAATCCCCCCATCCCGTGCCTGAGGCCTTTCCCAGCCCCTGTCCTGGGCTCCCTGGCCCTCCTGGGAGTCAGGGTGGGTGTGGACAGGTGGCCTTCCGGCACCTGCTGGGCGCAGCCAGGCGGTGACTCCAGGGAGGGAAGGGTCATAAAAAGTGGTGAGCAAGGAGAAAGTGAGGCTGCTCTGCTGCCTTTTCTGGTCCTGCAGCTCTGGGCTTGTCTTCCGGAAGGTTCTGTCTGGCCCAGCCTTGTGTCAGCCTGGCTCTCCCGCTGGGGCTGGGCTCCAAGTGCCCACAGGTCAGAGGTAGGAGGGCAGCACCTGTGGAAATAAGCAAAGGCGCCCACACAGGGCCAAGCCCAGGGCCTTTTGTCCCGCTGCTGTCCACTGCCTGTGTGGGCAGAGACAGAGGGAAGCTGGCAGTGGCTGGGGGCAGCCCCAGTGTGAGCCCTGGGGGGCTGGGGGGGTGCCTGCTGGGCCATGGACTGGGCCTTCAGTGGCCTTCCCTGCTTGGTCCCAAGCCAGGGGTGGGAGCAGACCTCGGGGGAGCTGCTGACCCCTGGAGGCCACGGCGGGGGGGGGGGGGGTTGGGGGCTTCCGGCTGGCGTCTGGGTGGTTCTGTCTGTGTCTCCAGTCTCTCGCGCCTTGAGACGGCCGGGCTGTGAGAGCTTGCTGCTATGGCTCTAGGTGCACACGCGGCCCCGGTGGGGGCCAGCCTGTGTCCCGGCTCCCTGGCCCGGGGCTGACTGCAGGTCCTGGGGGGCGGGGAGGGGGGAGGTATGAGGAAGGGTCTCCAAAAATCCATGGCAAATGCATGTGATGACAAAACTATGCACAGATCTAACCCCCACCCCCACCCCAAGGTAAATTTTTAAAAAGATTTATTTGAAAGTCAGCATGAGAGCCGGCGCCGCGGCTCGCTAGGCTAATCCTCCGCCTTGCGGCGCTGGCACACCGGGTTCTAGTCCCGGTCAGGGCGCCGGATTCTGTCCCGGTTGCCCCTCTTCCAGGCCAGCTCTCTGCTGTGGCCAGGGAGTGCAGTGGAGGATGGCCCAGGTGCTTGGGCCCTGCACCCCATGGGGGACCAGGAGAAACACCTGGCTCCTGCCATCAGATCAGCGCGGTGCGCCAGCCGCGGCAGCCATTGGAGGGTGAACCAACGGCAAAGGAAGACCTTTCTCTCTGTCTCTCTCTCTCTCACTGTCCACTCTGCCTGTCAAAAAAAGGAAAAAAAAAAAAAAAAAAAGAAAGTCAGCATGAGAGAGAGATCTTCCCGAATGGCCACAATATGGCCAGACTGAAGCCAGGAGCTCCATCCTGGTCTCTCACACGGGTGCAGGGCCCAAGGACCTGGGCCGTCCTCCTCTGCCTTCCCAGTGCATCAGCAGGAAGCTGGATCGGAAGTGGAGCAGCCGGGACTCGAACTGGCGGCCACGTGCGATGCTGGCAGCAGAAGCTAAACAGTACTGTCTTTCCACCAAATTTTTGAAAGTCTTACTCGTGACTGAGTGCAAAACGTCTTAGGGTCGGCTGTGGGTGTCCTGAGTCTCTGACTGGTGTAACTTTCCCGCTTGAAGCCCTGGGACAGCCTACGTTTTAGCTCCCAGTTTTCCATCGCACAGAAGCCAGGGAGAAGGCCAGCACCTGGCCCCAGGCGGAGGCCCAGGGGCAGCACCAGGGCCCTGGGAGCCCCTCACACGTGCGTCCGTGTGCCAGGGTCCCCGGGCGAGACGCGGGTCTCCTCGTGCAGTCCCTGGCTTCTGGCTTCATCTGCAGCTGCCTTCCCCAGCAGGCCAGGACACGGCTCGCTGCCGCCCGCTGGCCCGCACGCTGGCCCGCACACTTTGGGTTAGAAACTCCAGCTGTGGAACCCTGTGGTCGGGAGCAAAGGAAACACGAAGCACAACGAGGCAAGTTCCGGCCGCCAGCCGCCTCCGGGACCAGGGCAGCCAGGCAGAAGACAGGCCTCGCGTGGGCGCCTGGGCTTCCTCCCTCAGCCTGCTGCCTGCCCGCGCCCGCGGCTGGGCCTGCTGCTCCAGCTGGCCAGACCCAGGAGGCACTGTGGGCTCGGGGTGGGGGGGAGACCCAGGAGGCACTGTGGGCTCGGGGTGGGGGGGAGACCCAGGAGGCACTGGGGGCTCTGGGGGGGGGAGACCCAGGAGGCACTGGGGGCTCTGGGGGGGGGAGACCCAGGAGGCACTGGGGGCTCTGGGGGGGGAGACCCAGGAGGCACTGTAGGCTCGGGGTGGGGGGGAGACCCAGGAGGCACTGGGGGCTCTGGGGGGGGGGAGACCCAGGAGGCACTGGGGGCTCTGGTGGGGGGAGACCCAGGAGGCACTGGGGGCTCGGGGGGGGGAGACCCAGGAGGCACTGGGGGCTCTGGGGGGGGAGACCCAGGAGGCACTGGGGGCTCTGGGGGGGGGAGACCCAGGAGGCACTGGGGGCTCTGGTGGGGGGAGACCCAGGAGGCACTGGGGGCTCTGGGGGGGGAGACCCAGGAGGCACTGGGGGCTCTGGGGGGGGAGACCCAGGAGGCACTGGGGGCTCTGGTGGGGGGAGACCCAGGAGGCACTGGGGGCTCTGGGGGGGGAGACCCAGGAGGCACTGGGGAGTGCTGGGGGGGACCCAGGAGGCACTGGGGGGTGCTGGTGGGGGAGACCCAGGGGGGCTCTGGGGGGTGGAGGGATTCACAGAGTCGGGGTGAGCAGAGGGAGAGCACAGGTGGGCAGGGCTGGGAGGCCCTTGCGGTGGGCAGATGGTAGGGTGCAGGTGTAGTGAGTCTGGAGAGAGCCCTCAGGGGCAGCCCCCTCTGTCCTGCACCCCCAGCCCTCCCAGCTGCCCCTCTGTCCTGCACCCCCGGCCCTCCCAGCTGCCCCTCTGTCCTGCACCTGGGGCACGTGGCCCCGGCCCTCCCAGCTGCCCCCTGTCCTGCACCTGGGGCACGTGGCCCCGGCCCTCCCAGCTGCCCCCTCTGTCCTGCACCCCCGGCCCTCCCAGCTGCCCCTCTGTCCTGCACCTGGGACACGTGGCCCCGGCCCTCCCAGCTGCCCTCTCTGCCCCCCCTCCTGGGTGAGTTTCGGGGTTCCCCCGGGGCCAAAGCACCACCCCATCCTGACCCCCTCCGCCCAGCCAGTGCTGAAGGTGTCTGTCTCCTGCCACACGCCGGTCAATAAAGCGGAGCTTCCAGACTGCAGCCGTGGCTTTCGGGAAGAGAGGGTGGTCTGTCTTGGAGTTCTGTGTGTTTGTGAGAAGTGCTGCTGTTGTGGGGAAGTCTCGGCCGTGTCAGCGAGAAGGTGACGCGGCGGTCACGATGCTGTGACCGAGCTGTTTTCAAAAATCCCGTGAGTGGAAAATGAAGAACCGACTCATCAGGGCTTCCCTGAGGCCACGAGACAGTGGGAATCCCCTCCCCGTTTCTCCTTTCCCACTTTGTAAAAAGGATTTATTTATTTGAAAGGCAGAGTAAGAGAGAGAGAGAGAGAGGGAGAGAGAGAGAGAGGTCTTCCGTCCACTGGCTCACTCCCCAGATGGCCACAACAGCCAGGGCTGGGCCAGGCTGAAGCCAGGAGCTCATCCGGGTCTCCCAGGTGGGCGCAGGGGCCCGAGCACTTGGGCCACCCTCCCCTGCCTCCCCAGGCACAGTAGCAGGGATCGGAAGCGGCCACGCCTTAACCTGCTGTCCCACCACAGCGGCCTGTGGTCATTTCCCACGGCAGGGAATGGAAAGAGTGGACCGTGCGGGAGACACACTCCTGGAGTGAGTGAGTTTGCAGGAAGTGGGCGGTTGGAACTGGAGCTGCCCCGTGGAGGCAGCAGGCAGGGGAGGCCAGGCCAGGGCGCCGTCGGAGCCAGGATGGACGCCTGGGTGCTGGCCTCGTGTGCCTCAGCCTGCAGCCCCGGGTTCAGGAGTCGGATGCTGACCACACCAACCACGGGCCTTTCTGAGCCGGGT